AGGGCATACCACATTCAACAAACATTAGTTCCAGAGACCCCCATTTTTTGAGGTCGGAGTTCGTTCCAGACCCCCCATTTTTGACTTCGCAGTGGCACATACCCACCGTAATGTGGGGTGAGTGCCCCCCCACCGGGCATCTGTCGCGCCGGCCCGCCTCTGTCCATTTGAATCGCATATGATCAGCCGAAGAAATTTTGCTGTCAACGGCGGCCAGCGATACGAAAGCCATTCCTATTTACATAAGCCGCGAGAAACGTGAAATAGCACACGCTCGTTTTCACTTGAGCGTTGCCTTCGGCGGTGGGGAACGCGGATTTTGCATTGTTTAATATTAAAATAAGATCTATCTATTAAATAGTGACAAGTGTGCATGCTTGCAAAGTTTGCGATAAAGGCTTTGCGTCACAAATATTGCAATAGCTTAAATGTTTCTTTAAATGTTTTTGTTGATGCCAAAAGTACGAGGCCTTGGTTTAGGTGGTTCGAAGTAGTTAAATAGTCGCTTAAGGAGAAAGCAGATCATTTGGGCAGTAGTTCTTGTTTATACGAACAGTTGCGATGAAATTTGTTAAGTAACATGATTATTATCTCCCGTATAACAATTCAAGGTGTCTGAAACATCGGTGATTTGGTCTACATCTCACTACTGCTATTTCTGTACCACATAATAAGAATACGTTTATTGTTCATGGTAATGGTTATGGTTCATGGTTGTTCATGGCCTGTTATAAAGTATAGCATGTACAATGCATTGTTGTATTCCACTGTTCAACTCAAAATATGTAAACAAAATATCTTTAAAATACCTGCAATTTCGGCCTAAACGTTTACTGACCAAATACCGTGTATCAAAATGTCTGCATGCTTCGTAATTTTAACAAATTTGTTGTATTGATACATAATTGGTTTGCAGAGATACCAATTAATGAACATGGAAACGGCTCTCCATTTTTTTATAATAATAAAATAAAATAGATTAACTTGCTTTATTGGCATAAAACACGAATAAAAATGTCTAAACACATCCGCCGTTGACTGTAAAGATAATTGTCTTCGGCTGATCTTATGCGCTCAAAATGAACACGGACGGGTCTGCGATAAATGTACCTGGTAGAATCCGATCGGAAAAGTTTACCTTTTTTCTCAGTATCCCGTCACAATTCTCCAGCTAAGCTGCATGGCGTCGTATCGTGGGGCTACGGCTGCGGCAGTTCTCATAACCCGGGAGTGTACACGCGCGTGGCAAGCTACTACACGTGGATCACGAACACGATTCGGGACAACTAAACAGCGTGTTGCGTTGTTGTCACCACGCCTGTGAACTTGTCACGTGAGCTCTTAAAATGTCACGTGACAGGCGCCGGCGATGGAGCACCGAGCGGCGCTTTGCGGTTCTGATTTTAATTGTAAAAAATTTCAGTAACCAATGTAACGTCAGGTATAGTGGGAGGATCAAGAGCGGTATGCTTTGCGCTGGGGAAACTGGAAAGGATTCCTGTCAGGTAAGAAGAAGAGGAAAAAGAGAGAGAGAGAGAGAGAGAGAGCGAGACAGAGAGCTGGTTAAAGAAAGCCAAGTCGGTCCAGCAAAACTTGTGCGTTAGTTGATTCATTTGTGCATTGATTGACTGAATTCATGATTAATTGGTTGATTGATTGGTGGCATTATGAATAAGTGAATTCAATTATTCATTCATTCATTCATTCATTCATTCTTCCTTTCATTCATTCATTCATTAATTCATTCATTGTTGATTGACTGACTGGTTGGTTTGTTGGTCGATTGATTGATTGGTTCATGGATTGATTGCTCGATCGATCAGTCTGTCAGTCAGTCAGCCGATCAACCGACTGATTGATTGATTGATTGATTGATTGACCGAGATATCAGTTTGTTTGTTTGTTCATTTGTCATTGTTCTGCATATTTCACTCACTCACTGTAGTGTGGAAATGATTTCCCGTTTACAGGGTGACTCTGGTGGACCGCTATCGTACAACGGCAAGAGTTAATGTTGGAACACGGACGTAGCGCAGCTGAGAGGATATTGTTCCGCTATCTGAGGAATAAAGCAATTGGAATTAGCAACGCAAATTCTACACGGATACATGTGTATCATCGTTGTCAAGCGGTCAATATTGTGTCACGCGTCACGTAACATGTGTATCATCGTTGTCAAGCAATCAATATTGTGTCACGCGGTACGTACCATGTGTATCATCGTTGTCAAGCGGTCAATATTGTGTCACGCGGTACGTACCATGTGTATCATCGTTGTCAAGCGGTCAATATTGTGTCACGCGGTACGTAACATGTGTATCATCGTTGTCAAGCGGTCAATATTGTGTCACGCGGTACGTAACATGTGTATCATCGTTGTCAAGCGGTCAATATTGTTTCACGTGGCACGTACCATGTGTATCATCGTTGTCAAGCGGTCAATATTGTTTCACGTGGCACGTAACATGTGTATNGGAAAATAGGGGTCTCTCCTGCGGCACATACCTACCATGCAATATATAGGATATAACGGATACGGATACAAACATATATGGAGTGCCCCCCCCCCCGGGGACAGATGCGCACAGTAAACTCCGATCAGAAATGCGTGCGTGTCTGCGCGTGTAAATGTGCCCGTGCGTGGCGTCATAGCTAGCGTTTAGAAACCATGCAGACAAAAACAGTATAACGTTATATTATGGTTAAGATACACGCGCAATATATAATGGCCCTGTCACACATTGACGATTTAGGCAGCGTATGCCGGACGTATCAAAATTTCTCTAAAACGCTGGCATACGCTGAACTATCGATGTTTTTTTCAATTTTGGGCGTATACATAGCGTATTCATAACGAGTTGGACGTATACTTAACGTATTAGTAACGTATATAGAACGTTTCGATAACTTATACTCGGTTATAGATAACTTATACCAACGAATGCTTATATAGCGTGTTGCCGGCGTTCACAACTTATGTCCAACGATAGTCTAACTTATGCATAGCGCGCGGCAGCGTATCGCCGACGATCACGTGTCATAGCCTATATAAAGGCTGCCGCTCGACGATTCAAATCATAACCGCACTAGACATCGCAGTATCAACATCACCGTCGTAGTATCAACATGCCAATACCACTTTTATATACCAATTCCCCTAAACGCTGCCAATACGCCATTATACGGTAGCTGTAAGTTATAAACACGTTCAGTAAGTTCTGTGGTCGTCCGGAACACGTCAAATACGTCTACATACGTCAATATGCGTTGGAGATAAGTTACACATAGGTTCAAAGCACGTTACTCATAGGTTAGAAATAAGTTTTGGGTACGCTAGACATTATCTCGACGTATTTCGACGTATGTGTAACTTACAAGTAACGTGTGTGAACGTGTGTCAACGATCGCATAACTTACCAACTTATGGCCCGCGTATGCGGGACGTATGGGCATACGCTGGCATACGTCGGAAAATTTTGAGCATGCTCAAAATTTTTCGACGACCTCGCCGTACTATGACATATACCAGCGTGCTTCAGCGTGCTTCAGCGTGCTCTTAACTTATACAAAGCTTACCCATAACTTATTCGACGTACGCCAGCGTATTCCCCAAATTTTTGATACGTCCGGCATACGCTGGCTAAATCGTCAATGTGTGACAGGGCCATAAGTAACGATGTAATAGCCCTGTCACACTAGAGCGTATAGCCTTAACGTATGCCAGCGTATGAGATTTTTTGCCAATACGTTGGTGTACGTTGATATACGTTAGGAGTACGTTAGGCATAAGTTGTATTCGTTAACAGCACGCTGTGATACGCTGTCGTACGTCGAGGTACGCCGAGACAGAAAAAATGTTTTGGGTTGTTCAAAACTTTCAGCGTATAGACAACGTATAATTCATAGGTTAGGCATACGTTATAGATACGTTGTGAGTACGTTAGGCATACGTTGACATACGCTAGAGGTATGTTAGAGGTACGTTATTCATACGTCGAGATACGTCGGCTGAGGGTGTAACGTACACCTAGCGTATTGACAACGATTGAGTAACTTACTTCGAACCTATATTGGACGTATTTTTGGAAAAAGCCATCATACGCTGGCATACGTCGACCCGGGCACCTAAAAAAATCTGGATTTTTGTGGATTGGTCGTATACATAACGTATACACAATGAATTGAACGTATACACAACGAATTGAACGTATACACAACGAATTGAACGTATACACAACGTATGTCCAACGTATGTATAGCGTATCATTAACTTATAAATAACTTATGGGAGCGTATCCGAGCGTATGGTGAACGAGTGCCTGGCGTTCTCCACGAATGGCCAGCGTATGGGCAGCGTATGAGTAGCGCATGTGCAGCGTGATCGGCGTTCACGAACGATCACGTGACGTACCAGGATAAATACCGTGCCGGCGGTGCCGCTCTCGTCATAAATCAACAAAGCATCTACCAAGCGATTGTATGCCCCTTCCAGTGGCAGACGGAGAGCAAAGATAACCCATGCACAACCAAAACCATCACCACCACCTGCAGAATAGCCAGACCAGCCTGACCAGCCTGACCAGCGTGACCAACCTGACCAACCAGACCAACCTGACCAGCCTAACCCTCATCCTACCGGCCATACACAGTCCATGTCAAGATCCAGAGAACCTCGCTCACCCACTCCTCCGTCCCGCAAAGGTTCTGTCGTTTCTGTTGCCTCTAACTCTAGGAAGCCCAATGACCAGGCAAAGGAGAGAGGGCTACGAAGATTGTCTTTTCACTTACAGTAGAACAGGAGGAGAGTATGCTGGAGTTCTTGCAAGCAAATCCAATTATCTGGGACTCACCCGCAACGCGCCCGCAACACGCTTACAGTACGCCAAATGAACGCTAGCTGTACGGTAGAAACACGTTAAATACGTTACTCCGTCGCCAGGCATACGTACAATACGTCTGAATACGTCAAGATACGTTGCAAACCCCTGTCACACTAGAGCGTATAGCCTTAACGTATGCCGAGCGTATGAATTACATTATGAAGTCTTGCTCTAACCCAACCGTATCAAAGGTCCTTTTTGGAACACATGTAAAATTAATATTTCCTGGCATTACTTCTTGTGTAAAAAGAAAGGGTGAAAATAATGTAAGAATATATCGTGGCATCTCATACCGGCACCAGCAACCAGAAGACACGATTAGCCTGCATGACATTGCATTGCGAATGAAACCTTGGTGGCAAGTAGTCGCGAAAAATGACAGCAGTATCAAAATTATGTTTTCTAATTCTATTGGTATTATCAACCAGCAGAGAGTTGTTAAAGAATTAGAAGTGTATAGAAATGGTCACTGGAATTTAAGTTTTGAGGTCGTCTGTGTGCTGACTAGTGGCCAAACGAGTCTGCTGTCACCTGGGGATGGCATGTTTCGTGTTCAGGATGTCGACAAGCTACTCCGCATGGTCGATAATGCAGAAATGTGCAAAGGATTGCCATTGGGAGTGTCAACTACAGGCCCACAACCAGGTGCTCATACCTTGCTTTGACTTAATTTACTTTATGGATTTTACGTTTCGAGACCATTATTTTGAGAAGTAATTAGACTGGAGTGCTGTCAGCATTAAAGCATTAGAGGTGCAGTGAAATCCAAATTGTACGTGCCCTGATTTAACGAGAATTCGAATATAAAGTGATATAGAAATTTTTGTTGCTCTTTCAAAAACTGAAAAATATTTTGGTGAGTTAAGCCGGCCTTAGTTCGCAGTGTCTATTGCTATCAATAGAACATAAACGTGCAAAAAAACGGGTCAACTAGGGCCAAAATAGGGGTGTTTTGGGGGATGTTATGTCACCATTGGATCGGTTTATAGTTATACTCTGATTTTCTGCAACGTACCCTGCTTTTTTCGCAATAATATTTCACAGACCTCAACGACCACGTTTTAGTGGGGCCATACTGTAATTAGTATAAAACAAAATAGCCGCAATCATACCATATTTCTCTCACACAGTTGAGCGTTTCCAGACAGCCGAGGGAGAACCAGAAGAGATTCGCCAGCGTGCTCGCACTTGCTCTTGGCTAAAACCGGCACTTGCACACGGCACAAGCTGCCGGGCATGCAATAGGCTTCTGCGTTATGTCCGGAAGGCTGCATCGCTGAAGGCACTTCACACTTCACATGATGCCAGTACTGCACACACTGATGCTGAGTATAGCCTCATAGACGAGAACGACGCTGATGTTGCAGCCATTGTGGCAAAATATCTGCCACAGATAAACAACCAGTTTGCTGCGGGATCAGCTACTTGATCAAGAGCAGAACCTTGGTAGAGCCCCCAGAGGCAGAAGGTGGAATCCTGAGTAAGTTGCACATATTGTGGCTGTCACATATATCACAATATTATCCATACTGTCTTGTAAAAACTTCACAGGCACATGGTTATACTCATACCGATGTGTGTTACAGTGCTCATGTAATCCAATGGCAATTGCACAACATCTTAATATTTTTTTACACTATCCAACACATAGGGTTATGAAGGCATGTCTGTCGCTGTGGGCCAGCAATCCTCGCACCTACAAGAAGCTGTCGTCACTTGGCATGTTAGTTACACTGCCAAGTGGACGTCTACTTCAATATTATAAAAACTCAGTACACCAGAAGCCTGGACCCAACAACGATATGTTCCGCTGGATGTACGAGGAAGCAAACGCCAAGCAAGTGCCATCGCATGGCATGACTGGAGGCATAGTTTTCGACGAGATGTCGATTCAGCCTGACCTTCAGATGATATACTCTGAAGATAAAGTGAAGATCGTCGGGCTGGTCGACATGGGAGCTGAATGCTCTGCTATGCGAGTACTGAAAGAAGGTAAGAATATGTTAAATGTAAAGGTCTATGTATGCTTGTTAATCTAAATCAAGGTAAATTTAGTGACATATTTAGCTTGATTACTCTCAATTTATAAACGCTTTTCTGCAACAATTTACTTTTCTCCAGGTAAACAATCAGCGCAACTCGCCACACATGTCTTGCTGTTCATGTTCCAAGGGGACAGTGGCTTTCGCTTCCCATTTATGCATGTGCCGACGGCAGAAGCAACAGCACCAGATATATACGTTCTGTTCTGGAAAGCTATGCGTGGACTGATTGAATGGGGGTTCAGTGTGAGTAAATATTTTGCATGTCATACAAAATATTATTCATAGAAAGACTGTTAGCCAGCAAACATATTTTTGACAGCAGTAGATCACAGTATGGGTCAAAAGGGAACGTATAATAAGTTTTAAATGTAATGAACACGGATGGATGGATCTGCTCAATGCTGTACACGGTATAACTAAGGGATACCACACTTGGCAGGAATGAACGTCTATACTTACTTTCATACAATGGCAGCTAATCAGTGAGTAAAATCTTACAATGTGAACCCTAACATCTAGAAATTATTAAAAAAATTAACCTTTGCAGGTAAACTACGCTTGCTTCGATGGTGCCGTCCATAACAGGTCGTTTCTGAAAATGCATTTCAATAGCTCCGGTTCTGCTGCAGTGTCAGCTTCCTTCGCCACACACAATGCCTGCTCGCCAGATCTGCCACTTGTCATGATGATGGATCCGAAGGTATAATACTGAAACATACATATCCATATCACAGATAATTTCAGATAAAAAACTTTCCCACAGAGAAATCAGTTCATGTACCAGATGTTATTTTCTAGGGTCATAATTTAATAGCATGAAAATATTATATGTTTTTACACTTTAGCACCTCTTCAAGAAAATAAGAAATAATATGATCAAAAGTGGATTTGGAAGAAATAGCACCAGACTACTGTTGCATCAGGCAGGCTTTATTACCTGGGAAATGTGGGTGAAACCCTATCAGTGGGACCGGGAAGCGAACCCAAGTGAGGTCTCAAGGATACACCATGTCCTGACGGATGAGCACATCTGGCCAAACAATGGTCAGAAGATGCGAAACAAACTGGCAGAAGACGTCCTTGACAAGGAAATGCTTCATCTGTTCAAAGTAAAAACAAATTGATTTTAAGCATGGTTAGAATTTTGTAATATAGTGAACATCATTTACGATTTTCATTATACCTATTGCCTGTTCAACAGCTGTTACGTGATGCTCCATAATAAAACCTTTTTCAGACAAACAAGAGTCAGAGAAGCAGTCATTTTTATTTTTAAGGAACATTTTAATTAATGAGTGCTAGTAAATTATGGTGGGTGCTGGTAAAAAAATGCTGCTACCAGCGCTATGGGCATTGAGCCTGTACAGAAAAACTTGGAATTTCATGCCCCATACATGTACATGCCATTTTCTTATTTAAACATATGTCGTAATAATACCACGACTTTTCACTAGGCTTACCAGAAAGCTGAAGGTCGAAACGGAGATTGGCTCAACAGTGCGATACAGCTGCTGGAGGCAACCAGTGTTCTGATTGCGAACTTCACCGACACACGTCCTATAACATCAGCAGAAGACGATCGGCTCCATTGCAATGCGAGAGCACTGCAATGGTTCACATCGTGGGAGGAGGCCGTGATGAGCGATCTACAGGACACTGCCATCGTGAAGCGGAAAAAGTTGATGTCGGGGGAGACACGCTTCGACATGAAGTCAACCATTCTGGGCTTTGAAAGTCTTGTTCGCCAGAAACAGAAAACCCATCCTGGCACAAGCATAAATGCTGCTCGAGTCAACAGCGACTCGGTCGAAAACATCTTCTGCCAGCAGGGGGCCAATGACAACCCCAATTACAAGCAGTTTATGTATAAACACCATCATATTAACCGCGGACACTGTAAACAGCAGTCGTTGCAACACTGGAGTAGCAGCAGAGCCCTTCTCATGTCGAGTGCTGAAGCCCATCAATCCGAAGAAATAGAAGAGTGATGCTTAGCAGAGCGCAGGTATTATTCTCCAGGTATGAATACTTGTTAAGGCCCGTCTCCACACATGCTGCACGGCACGGAATGCCACGGCTCAAATACAATGCGCGAAATCATAATGCATTTCTTTCAGCGCAACGGCACTGCGTTTTGCTGTGTCGTGTCATACCGCGTGTGTGGAGACATAGCTGTAGGGTTATGATTACACAACGATTGATCTATTGTTTACTGTTGCATGTTAAAGCATTTTGGGCATGTCCACGGCTCGTCACTCGCAGAAACTTCAGCCCAATTGTTATTATCGAGTAAGCCAGCACATTCTCTGTGTAGCCAAGCTCCACATATATCACAACCAACACATGGGGAGTCCCCCACATCCTTGCTGCACGTTGGCAGATGTAAGCCGGTTCTTGTGCGATCTTTTTTTCTGACCTGGAGTGCTTTCCTTTTCCTTTCCCTTTTCCAGCAGCAGTTGCCCTTTTCCTCGTAGTTGGTTGAGCTTCTATTGTTGGGGTCATTGTATGGTGTTGAAGGCCAGAGGCACCAGGCTGTGGCTCATCACAAGTCGCTCGCAGGACATCTGCAGTCGAGCTGATGGGTGAAGATGCTCCAAACGCATTCGGTTCTGACATGCTGTCTATTGCAAGTATTCTTGCGCAGAGGTCCTCCGCAAGTTGTGTTTTCAATCTCCGTGTTCGCCATGGTAGAGTGTAGGCCTTGAAAAAGGTTTTTACCTCTTCCTTTGAGTATGTGCTAGCAGAGAAGAAGTTGGGGTTGGATCTTAAAATGCTCTTGAGTTGAAGATGTGTCAGTTGTTTCCTTTCTGATGTGTCTGCTGCAATTGTGGCCGAAGACAGTTTAGCAGTTAGGTTTTTCTCTTTCTGGTGTCTCATGTGAATTTGCCGCCTGTGGGACTCCGTTTTCTTTTGACCGTAGGACCTGATAAGTTCTTTTCGGAAGTAGTTGCTTGCAACCAGGACAAATGAATGGACGATCTTCCGAAACAGAGTATCAAGACTGGCACTTTCTGTAACATCCGTGGAAAGAAATAATGCCCTCCATGCCTCCTTCAACTCTGCTGTGTCGAGAAGTTGCACTTCAACAACAGAAATGACATCCTGTTGCTCGACATCAAACCGGCCTTTGGTTTCTAAATGCACACGCTGTTTCTCTAGTAGCAAGAAAACCCGACGCAAGCACCAAGATCTTTGCATTTGATTAGCGTTTCCGGCTTGAGTTGTGATAGATGCTGCGCGAAGCTATTACAAATACCAATCCAGGTTTGATTAATGAAATTTTGCATCCTCTTTCTCAGAATGAAGTAGAGTATCACCAATGGCAATCAACTGCTGCTGAATAGGAGTCACCGGATCTGTTGGACGCAGCTCGGCTAGCAAGTCATCGACTGACAGAGGACTCTGGTCAGGGAGTATCTCTCGAATGCTTGCTTCGAGGCATCCGCTCTCCATCACAGTCTCTCCATCAGCTGCCTGCTGAACCGGCACATCAGGAATGGTGGCCAGCATTTCATCAATCTGGAGCATTTCGCTTTCGGAAAATAAGGAGCCACTGTCATCTGCAGTAGGTGCCAACACATCTGATGTCACTGCGTGTGGTTTCTTGCAGCAACTGAGGTCAGCTTGCGCATCGCTGTTCGTGAGCTGTTTGTAAAACTCAGTTACCTGCAAGGGATGTGGAGTCACGCAGTGTGGATTGAAGCCGACCACTCGAAGTCCTGCCCTGCTCGTTACTCTCCCGACAGCGACTCCGAGTTGGCCAGCTGCAATGTGTTGGCAGTGAACCTCTACTGATGACAGTGTCATGCCTTGACACTTGTGGATGGTCATTGCAAACACAAGCAGTAAGGGTAGCTGCTTCCGTGTTGCAATGACCTTCTGATGCGCCGGTGAAAAAATTGACGATAGGTGAGGTCTGATCAGTATTGCCTGTTGATGACTTTGGAATGAAAACTTGACGAGTGGGCCATCAGGTGTAATTTCTGAAACGGTCCCTAACAGGCCATTGAAGTGTTGTTCTGACATGTTAGTGGTCAGAACAACAGGTGCGCCGACTTTCAGAGCAACATACTTTGGCGCTCTAGCCCTTCTTTTCAATGCCAGACTATTTCCAGTGTCAGTTGCCGTGTACATGGTTTGCTTTCCTGGCAGCTGGCTGAGCTGGTCTGCGTTGAATAGCTCAGCATCGAAATTTCTTGCAAAAAGAACAAGCTGCCCTGACGCCTTCAAATGGCGAGCTACCTCAGCCAGAAGAGAGCAAGAGCCTTGGGATAAATATTCACCCCTAGCTAGCTCGTTGATGCAGGTGATTAAAGCATCATCTTGCTGGCGAAGCACCTCGACAAGCTGCAGCTGGTGTTGGATGCAGATGAAGGCGTCAGACAGAAAACAAAATTGACCGTGGTCACCATATTCTGGATTGGGCACTGGAGGTAGCTGATAAAAATCTCCAGCCAGTATGATTTGTAGGCCACCAAAGAAGAGGTTCGATGACCTTAGCTTTCTGCAAACTGTTTCCAATGTCTCCAGTGTTTTTAGACTAAGCATAGAGACTTCGTCAATTAGGATGGTATCAACTGACATGATGTTGTTTCGTACGGTTGTGTAGGCATGGTCAGTGGTGATGAGCTGCGCCAGGTGTTCTCCACTGTACCGGCCATCTCCCATTCCAGCCCATCGGTGAATCGTTAATACTCCCTGCTCCAGCAGTGCATTAGCTGACATGCCTAAAAGTTAGCAAAATACATATCAGAAAAATTATTTTTAATTTAAAAACTAACATACTTATATCATTTCATTTTGCAAATAAACGTTACCTCACACGCTAATGATTCTGTATCATACAACATATGCTGCCCTATTTTTGCTATTAGATTTCATTACAACTTGGCAGCAACATGTTGTATTTGCATCCCAGACATTCAAATGGCTCAATGTTTCTATTTTTTACGGGTTATGAAATCTTTCTATTGTGCAAAGCTTCATGTTATTAATCACTTCTCAATAGCCTAGTAGTAGTTCATACCTGTTGTGCTTAAAACAGCAACCGTTTTTCCCAAGCTTCTCAAGTGTTTCGCTATCTGTTTAACCAGGAACGTTTTTCCTGTACCTGAAAAATTATGAACAAACTTATTCCTACAGCAAATGTTCTACCACAAACATATTACTATTATTAGTTTAAAATGACAAATCTCGATTTGCGACGTTAATTCAGATAACGTATCTCGATGACGCTAAACCATTTCCTAATTTCTAATATTATGTTGTGTTTATAAACCCATAGTCCATAACATAGATTATTATCGCAATTATAGACTCGTGATATATGTTTCTAAATATAAATGTTTGTTCTGATATCTATTCGCAGAGTTCGCTATTTCAAATATTGTATGATGATAAACAGTTTTGAAATTTCTAATATGTCGTGTTTACACACACACGTATATATATATATTGTTCATTCACGACATTTTTGTTCATTGTTCTCTGCTCCCAAGATATGTAATTGTTCAGTGGCAGATCTAGGATTCCAAGGAGGGGGGTTAAAAACAAGGGGGGGGTATGGGGGTCCTCCCCCAGAAAATTTTGAAAATGTAGATCGCAGGAGATGGTATTTGCGGCACTTTTGAGTACATGTACAGCCTTCATTCTGACTACGACAATTCTCTTCTTTTTTTTACTTTTTGATCAACATGAATCCCCACTTAATCCATTGGCTGAGGGGGTCCCCGTGTG